TTAAAAATCTCTTTTTCAAGAGCATCTATTAGGTTTTACTGTTTAGTTTATCCTTGTTACTTGAATTCAGTTTTCATATTCTATTCTGTGTTTATTCTACTTTTATTCTATTTGTTTCTTAAATGCTATGGGCATTCAATATTGGGTGAGAAAAACAGTATTTTGATTTTTCTGTATGTTCTGCACATATAGTGAATTGACAATAAAAATCTTTCATCTTTTAGCTGCGATGCTGCACACGGGTAGAACCAACTTCCTGATCTTAAATGTGTCCAAACTCCAGCCACTTTCTGGTCTACTATGATCTTTGTCTATTTGTATTTGACTTTCATTTGAATGTGTTATTTTATTTAATAGATTTGTATCATTTTATCTTTAGAATATTCTGGTGTTTAATGCTTAATATTGTGAATGCTTCTCTTTGTTGATATAAAGCCTTATGAATTCCCACTTTGTTTGTTTGAAATTTGCCATATAACAAAATGTTTTGCCTAGTATGTACAATATGTAGCAAAATGGGTTTTAAGTGTAAAGAGTCAAAGCACATTAGTGCTGCAGGAAGTCACTGAATGCATATGAATGCAGAAAAATTCCAAAACACTTTGGCTTACTGGTTTAAGGTCTTATTTCTTCATTTTTCAGTTTTGATTTCTGACAAGAGTTTATTAGAGCAACACAGTCTAGTTTTTCTCATTTCCATGTGTCACATTTTCATACAAATGAAATGTGTAATGGTTGGGAAGACATTAAATCAATCATTTAAAAAATATTCCTTGATTACGCTTCCAGTTGATAAAATTTTAATAGACTGGCCACCCTATCAAAACTTAATAGTCGTGGCAACTGTGGTTTCGTGGATAGAGCAGTTGTCTCCCACCCGGAGGGCTGGCGGTTTGAATCTCGGTGCCTGCAGTCCACATGTCAAAGTGTCCTTGGGCAAGACACTGAACCCTCAAGTTTCCCCTGATGGTTTGAGCCATCGGTTGAGTTGGCACCGCAGATGGCTGCCTCTGTTCTGTCCCGGAAACTAATTCCTTGTGTGTAACATAGTTGGCAAATAAAGGTGATTATGGAAATTTGTTTCCCTGTTGTCAGGTTATTGTGGGGATTCTTATATGCTGTATCAATGAGCAGGACAACTTCATGCAAAGACTGGATGTTTTGCATCCGTGTGAAGCATCGGTCTGTCAGTTGATCTGTCCACCACTTTGGTCCAGGCTCTAATGTCTCAACTTTCCTCTAATGCATCACTAGGTTTATTTGTGGCTTCAAGGGACCAACTACTCAGCGGATTGTCGGCAGATATGGTGCAGACAGTATGATTTGAATTAATTTTGATCAGAACAGCCCAAAAGTCCTTTCTGAAAAGAAAATTAGCTGTAGCTGTAGAGGAGAGTCATAGCTGCTGTCATGGCTTTCCCAATTTCCTCTGCTGCCTCTGCAGGGAGACTGCCAGCTCGGCGTGCTCTGCGCCGAGGCAGGCCCCAACAAAGGGGGCGTGGGTTGTTGTATATGATGAAGCCTGTATTGCAGCCTGGGCGCACGGTGATGGCAGTGTGGTGCTAGAGTCAGGTGTTTGATGATCTTTGCTCTTTAAACTGCTGAAGAAAAAGAGGGAGTCAAACTCAGGTGGCATTGGCATTTATGCTACCACAGTGGACCTGAGTGGAGACAGCCCAGTGCAGGGTGGGAAAGAAATCTATTCAGGACCGCGCATGTCAATAAACCAGATAGTGACAGCTCTTAGAGGAAATAGAACAACACTAGAACCCCCCCATTACATCCTGGATTTTGTACCAGCATGGTTCCAGTCCAGAACTGCATGGGCATTCTGATATTATGAAACCCAGGATGTAGACTACAGACATGAAAAATTGAATTTAGCATAAAAAAAACATACAGTACAAAGATGTGGGGATGTTAGAGCACAAGAGACAACTCAAAATTGGTGACTGACTGTCTACACTTTGATTTCTATGCTATAGACAGACCTGTGGAAATGCCCAGACATGTCCTACCTGATGAAGAGGCGTGCCTCACCCACAATTCCACAGCACCGTCATCCACATTTACCAAAGCCTGACTGTACATACAGTGTGTAACTGTCAGACATGTGCAAAGCCACTGGGGCCAATAGCAGCGCACACACCAGTTCACCTGATCTGGGCACCTCTCTTCACTCAACCAAATTCCAGAGGTGACACCTGGGAATCAAAACAGGCCATTCAGGACTTCATCAACAGAGTTAGGACAAAAGTATTCATTCATTCATTATATTTTCAGTTTAAGAAGTGATGCTGGTCCTACGGAGATGACACATATTTGCTCTGAACCGATTAAGTTCTAATAATTTCTTACACATATGAAATGAATTTCAAATCATTTTCCAGCAATTCTGTGAACTTTTTTAAAATAAGATTTTACTGCATCACAGATGGGGGATTTGGGGGTTTAGTGGATGATACCTCTGACTCTGTAGCTTATTTGTTTTGTTGAAAGAAGACACAGCAGAGCCTGTGAAAACCACTGCCACACCATCCGCCCTGAACACCAGATCTTATAAAACTCAAATGGATCAGACACTTGGAGTGTGAAGCTCAATTCTACTTCGGCCATCTTTGGAGAGTTTATGGTAATTTACGCACAAATCTACGCTGGTAAAACCCGCCAGTGGGTTGTGTTGTGTTGTTCCTGTCAGCATTTCTGATGTGGCGCATCTCAACTGCGTCAAGAAAAATATTGTTAGATGGCTCAGATAGGAAGTTAAGATATTCGGTTTTCAAAATAAAAGACATTTGCCACTCAGGTGTTGCGCCACCCATCCATCTCTCGTTCCCGCTGATTCCCTCTCACAATCACGGGATGCTTCGGCCAGTATATAGCCTATGGATAATTCCAACAACAACAACCAGACCCCCACCAACACCATCACCAATAACAACAATAATAATAGTCTTTATGAAGGTACTTTAATTCAAAGACTTGCAAAGTTATTTACACGTAACATAAAACAATTCAGCACAATAAGATTAAATAAAAGCCAGACACTATAATTAGACAAACAAATAGATAGATAGATAGAAAGAGAGAGAGAGAGAGAGAGAGAGAGAGAGAGAGAGAGAAAGAAAGACTTTATTGGGCCAAGGGAAATTCAGGTATCTAGTAACAACAGCAACAATGCCAAAATCACAGCACACCAAAATAAAAAAAATATATAAAAAGTGTAAGACTATAATACAAAAAGGTACAAGTATAAAAAATTATAAATATATGCATTTCTGTCAGGTAATCCAGATCTAAATCCCATAGATTACCTGTGGACAGTTCTACAGTTCTACAGAGGAATCATCGAGTCTATTCTCTGCACCTCCATCACTGTCTGGTTTGGCTCAGCAACCAAACAGGACAAGTACAGACTTCAGCAGACAGTCAGGACTGTAGAAAAGGTCATTGGTGTGAGCCTGCCCTCCACCTGTACACCTCACAGGTCAAAAGGAGGGTGGAGAGAATCACTGCAGACCCCTCACACCCTGGATACAATCTGTTTGAACTCCTCCCCTCTGGACGGCCTTACAGGTCACTGTGCACTAAGACAACCAGGCACAGGGACAGTTTTTTCCCCCAGGCTGTCACTCTGATGAACACTTAACCCACGACAGTATGACTGGACAATAACCCTCAGTGCAATACCTGTAAATATATACATTGTACAGATTATACAGACTCATACAGGTCTCTAGTTCTTAAGTACTCTGTTTTTATCCCTAATTATCTCATTTCAAAGAACATTCCTTTGTTGTCTGCATTGTTTACTGTCTGTTTATACTGCTTTTTCTGTATTGTTTGCACTGTTTGTTGCTGTCAATGTTGCTGGTAATACTGCTTATTTTGTTATATTACACAGCCTTATGCTGGTTTACTGTTTGCACATTGAGAGTCGATGCACCAAAGTCAAATTCCTCCTATGTCTGTCACACCTGGCCAATAAAGCTGATTCTGATTCTGAGAGATCTCAAAACAGCCTTTGGGAGAAGGAACCCTTCAAATCTGAGGCAGCTGGCAAAAGAAGAGTGATCCAAAATTCCAGCAGAGAGGTGGAACTGATGGTTACAGGAAGTGATTGGTTTCAGTTATTTTATCCAAAGGGTGGGCTACCGAATATTAAGTTGAGGGTGTCAATAATTCTGTCCAGTCCATGTTTGGAGTTCTGTGTGGAATGGATCAGATTTGGCCTTTTGTGTTGTTCCAATGCAAACAAAAGAAATAAATACGAAAATACCAAAGAATTTGTGACTGCAACAGTTTTCGAGAGAAGTGGTGTGTTATCCTGTGTTAGAATGGCGACCTGTCCAGGGTGTGCCCTGCCTCTCGCCCAGTGCCGGCTCCAGCACCCCCACGACCCTGTTCAGGAATAAGCGGTATAGATATGGATGGATGATGGCTATATGGGGGGTGTAGCAGACAAAAAAAGTTCGCAAACCTTAGGCCTTTACTTCAAAACCAGCGACCGGAAATCCAGTCTGTGTGTGTGCTGCCTGACTTGATGGCGGTGCGCATCCCACCGACCGGGAATACCGATTTGTGAGCATTTCGGCCTTTTCTCCTGCTGCACCGTAAAATGTTTTCCTGCGAGCTGCTGCAAAGCGGTCCGGGTTGCACTGGCGTGGCGGGGTTGAAGTGAACGATTATATCGGCCAGTAGGCTATTATGACAAACGGAGATGACACACATCCAGAAAGAGCCCTGTTTGTTTTGTATGGCGAAATGAGGCAGGGGGTGGAGAGTCGCCACAGAGACGCTGGGCTTCGGCCAAACATCACCGCATTTTAGCACTTATTCAATGCTCGGGATTTACTTTGCATTGCATTTGCTGCATTGTTGAGCGGGCATTTTTTTTTTAGCAGAGTGCATTGTGGATATGCAGCTTGTTTGAGGACACCCCCCTCCAGATATCCATTGCTGCCATGATAGGCAGAGGTCTCCTCTCGAGCACGGCGCGTCCGGTTGAAGAAGACGCAGATTGATTTGGGACAGTGGGTCGCATCTGCAGATGTTATTCTGTCTGTGGAGCCTGTAAATATCCGCGCAAACACACCGTGATTCTTACTCAGGGAAAGGGGAGAAAGAAAACATGTCTTCTCGATCTGCATTACCATCTGGAAACGACAGGAGTACTGGAGACCATGTAAGTGTAATTACAGCCTATAGCCTGTGTTTGTGTCCATGCAAAGATAAACCTGCATCCCTAAACAAAGATCTCCTTACAAATGTGGCCTCTGGCATTCACTGGGTTTGTTCACAGTGCAGACGGAGTTCATAGATGGTGCTGTTTTCCCTCATGAGGTGATAGGAGATGGATATTTTAGCAGAACAGGCTCTTTGAAAACGGGC